CTCATCCTCGGACTTGCAAACCAAAACATGTCAAGTCAAAGCACCTTCATGTCATGCAAACATGCTCATGCCAAAACAAAAACATGTTCTTGCCATGTCACAGCACTCATGTCCTACACATGTACCTGCAAGCAACTAGGCAAACAAAGAAATGTCATATTTTCACACCCCCTCATGCCTATTGCGCGGTCAGTCCTTCTTTCGTCTTTCGAGACTTCTCCTGGCTTCTTTCACCAGGAAGCGGCCTAAGCCCTGCGGATAGACACCTGTCGCTGCTATGCTAGTAGCACTCGCATGCTCGTGGTTGCCTGGGCAAACACAAGAGGATAAAGTCCAGATAAAACTCGAATCCGAACTGACGAACCACCAATGCTTCAGGATACGGTTGCCAGCTTCCTCGAAACAGCACCGGTCTACCAAACACTCGTGCTCGAGTCCCAGTCTTTTCGCTGTTGACTTGTAGACTGTTTCTCCCCAAAGGCCAGACCCTTTAGGCCATTCGTGGGAGAGGAGGAGCCTCTCGTGGCCAGCATAGTCCTGGAAAACTGCTCGTATGCGTCTCCAGGACTTCTTGTGTACCTCCAGACTAGCTCTCCATCTCGCCCGGTTCTTCACGTCCTTTGAGAAACGCAGGTGCCTAAGGCCACTACCTGCGCTGCACGGCGTAGACAAATGTGCATACACGTAGATTCTTTCGTTAGAAGCCATCTTTTCCAGAATCCCTTTTAGCAATAAAGAAGCCTCTCTACTCAGCAAGTCTAGCTTCTTGGTGATTCCAAAGTACGCGATGTCACGTTCCCGCTTACAAGCTTGGGCTATCGCGCTTTCCTCTTCGCAACAGAGTTCCAAGACAACCATGGTGGCCTCCCCAGAAGCAACTCTGTAGGCCTCGTCCTTCCACGAGCTCGGAATTGCGAGCACTTCGTCGCAGGTATTGGGCTCTTTAAAGGTAACCGAAACGCTAGAGCCTGAAGCTTTTTCTTCCCAGCCAACCGGCTCGGTGGTCAAGCCACAAGCCTCACACAAGCTTGCCAAACTGTCATTCGTGGGACTTTTCGTTAGAGCATCTGCGGGGTTGATGGCCCCCGGTATGTGCTCAATCGTGAACCTTCCACGATCCACAAGTTCCTGGAGAAATGCGGCTCTTAACTCTATATGGCGAACTTTCCTCAGCAATGTTCCCATTTTTGAGATACAAACTGCGCTTTCAGAGTCAGAGTAACCCTTCAAGAGATAGTAACCGGTCTCCCTGTCCTGCGGAATGCCTTCCAAGATGGTCTCTATCAAGAGGGCAATGTAGAGACCTTCCCTGGCTATCTCCGTCAGCGCCGCGAGCTCACTCTCAGCGCTGGACAGGGCTGTGGTTGATTGCTTTCTGCTAAAAGTCTTCAGACAGCAGTTTTCCCAAGTAATCACACCACCACTAACCGAATTCAAACTCCAGCTTGCGTCTGTAAAGCAGGAAACCGCCTGAGGATCCGCATCATCTTCCAGGATCTCCCGAGTTGATGGAAACACCTGTACTCGGTGCGGAAGCCCTTTTATCCACTTAAGGACGTCTCTCATGCACGTTTCAGCAGCCTCGTCTGGCGCCGCCTGGTGCCGGCCCAAAAACCCGCAACAGAATTGCAGATCCGGTCGGGAGAGGGCTGCCCATGCAAGCCGACCAAGGGTTCTACGATAGTGTGCGGCCGGGCTAATCTTTTCAGTTTGCCCTTTTCGAACCAGGTCGGAGTATCGCTTTTCAAGCGACGGGAGTTTGGGGCTCGGTTTGGTTATATTGTACTCAGAGCAGCACGCGTCTAGATACTTGCTATCTAGCCCGAAATAGACGCGCTTGTCTCCGGAACGTCGGAAGATTCTCCTACCTAGGAAGGAAACTTCCCCCGCACCATGTTCAGGAATCTCTCCAGTCAGTTTCAGCTTGTAGCGTTTCTGCAGTCCTTCGAAGACTCTCTTCCCTTCCGAGGGGTCCTCGGAGTAGATCAGCAAATCGTCTACATAGAACAGTACCAACGTCAGACCCTTCGACGTCTTCCTTCGGTATATCGTAGGGTCCAGGCTTGGACTGAATCCGCTCTTCTCCAAGTACGAACTCAGTTCCTTATACCAAGAAAGCGGTGCCGATCTCAATCCGTTCATCGCTTTATGAAGACGAAGATACACCTTCTTGTTTCCTGCCTTTTGGGGAACAGAAGAGTCCGCAATACTCACATTGTTTGGGAGCTCTACGTACTCTGGCCTTGACACTGCAGCGTGCATGAAAGCCACGCTCACGTCACAGCTCAACACTGAGCCTTTCTTGCAAAGCAATGCCAAAAGAAGCCTTAAACCCTCTAAACTCGTAGTCGGGCTGTAGATGCCTTCGGAAAGCGTCGTGCCTCCCATTGAAGCGTAATCTCTAACCACGAGGCGGGAACGGTAAAGACCTTTACGTTTGATCGTGTTAACCCACCTGCTCGTGAGAACCCTCCGACCGCTCTCTCGCGCCGACTTACGGGCCTCAGCTTCAGAGATCACTTTCCCTACTCCAAAAGACTCGAGTTCCTCAAGCTCCAACTTCATCGAAGCATACAAAAGTTCAGGGTCTAACTGTTCACCTGAGGTCTCAGAAACGGCGTTTCGGGGTACTTGGCACTTGATCTTACTTCCTCCGAATTTGAGAGTAAACGAATCAGCTACTTCTTTAGACGTGGCCAGAATGTCCGGTCCTTTGAACAAAGACTCTAACAGATGGTTAGTTAGCCAGTCAATTTCCATGTCCTCTAGGTCATCCGGCTGCATTTCCGGTGACCCAAGTCCGCCTTCCCCCTCATCATCTGTGGGTTCCACGTAAGACGGAACATCATTCAGAGGATCAGGATCATCTGGTACCATCTCTTCATCTTCGTTTTCAAACCCCGGGTCAGGGTCTTCTGACTTCACCGGATCAGGTGGTGGCTCAAACATGATGGGCCTTTCAGGATCCGCTGGGTCTAGAACCAGAGGCTGTGAAGTAGACAGAGCGTGTATGGCCCCTACGTCGTAGACAGGCTCACCTTTCGCTCCTTCTAAGGCCCTACAGACAGGAAAGATATCGATCTCAGTCTGACCCACTGGAACAGCAAAGACACCGCCCCCTCTAGGCTCTTTAGGCCCTAGATACACAGCTTTCACTGTTTTCTTTCCCCTGTACTTCTGTTGATGCGCTTTTGAGCCCCCTACTTTAGCGTAGACAAGACATCCAAACGGCAGGGTCCTCGTACGATGCACAATCTCCTCGTGCAGCCGGTCAATGGGCGTAGTCACGTCCTGGTGACTAAAGCTCCAGAGGTTGTAGCACCTGGCACTGTAAAGGACACAAGCTTGCCAGAGCATTCCTCCCAGCGGAAGCTTCTTGTTCCAGTCTTCCGGCGCGGAATTCCGCGCAACTTCTCTCTCCAAGTCTAACCACACTGCCCAAAATCCCTGCTTCATAGTTTCTACTTGTCTTTCAATAGCGCCTTTTGACTGAGGGCGATACCCGGGCACGACGTCCACAATGACGCCAGAAACAGCTACATCACCTGTACGGGTAGTCAATTTTTCGGCTAAAGACATCAAAGCCGACTCCTGATCACATCTCACTGTGACCATTTTATTCACAAGACCCATTTCGCGAATCACTCGTCCAATGTTGTAAAACAGATCCGGATCATCCAAATTCATGGCCGGGATGGCCGTGGTATAGTTCGAAGAACAATGTGCAAGAAGCAGCACACGAAGACGACCAAAGTAGTAGAAATCCATTCCAATCGTCTGGTCCTCGCGTTGCAAACGCCTTCGCAAGCGTCTCGCAGGAACCTTCCCTTTACTCGAGGTGCAGGCTTCACAGTTCACATCATAAGGAAAATGACCTCTGGATCTATGCACTTGCAAAGCCACACTTCGCAGAGGTATCCTCTCTGAAACTTCTGCACCTCCAGGCGGTTCCGGGGGTTTCGGTGGTTCAACACCTTGAGGTTTCGGAAGCGGACTCTCTTTCTCTCCTCTCTCTTCTCTCTCTGACGACCGTGGCATGTCACTATCGAGTTCTAAGGGCTCAGCTTGCGTCCCCTTACCGGGGAGGGGCAGTCCACGCACAACTCTCAGGTGGCTGTGCTCAGAAGTGGATCTGCTCCCTTTTTCATCATCGCCCTTTCTTCTCAACAAACAACAACCACACACACTCCAAGCACAACACCATGCCATGCACACCAACAAGCTCCACAAGTTCCTGTCGAGACAAAGGCCCAAGCACATGGCCTTACATGCGAACTTCAAAGAGGCTTTAAAACCTGAGCTCCAAGTTGGTTTCACTACGTGCCTGCTAAAGACCAGAGTACGTTCTACATCAACTCGAACATAACAGAAACGAGTCTTGATTCGCACTCGGACTCCTTGACGACGATGGTGTAAACGGTACTTTCGGGATACAAGTTGAGGGTAGTCACCAACTCCTCGAAACCTTTTCAAACACATCTTCAAGAATCGAAACCCTAACCAGAACGAACCCCCCAAGAGACTTGCTATCACATAGATCGCCAAGCAAGCGAAAACATCCAACGCTTCTCCTGGCATGCAAAACAAAGCACTCCTGGCCGGCAGGGGTCTGTCATGACTCATGTTCAGGAGGTTTGGGTTCGTGACGTTTCTGAGGTTCACACTTGAGGGTATTTCGGATCTTTGAGGGTACTGCTTAGAAGATCGACGTTCTTTCGGGCTAATTAAACGCGGACTTGAGGGTATTTCGGATCTTTGAGGGTACTGCTTAGAAGATCGAAGTTCTTTTGGGCTTCTCTTCAAGGGACCTTCAAGCTCGCACACTCCTAACCAAGCAAGTCTCACACAGCAACATGTCTGTTCAACTGCTTCACTCATGCTTCTTTCCAAGTCCAAACAAGCCTGAAAGACACTGTGTTTTTCCAACGCGCAAGACATGCGATCGGCGCGTTCAGAAACAATTCCACAAAAGGAAGAATTCCGCACAGCCTTTAAGGCCTTCACTTCTTCTGGCAAGGGGAAGGAAGCACAAACTCCCTCTCTTCGGCTGTTTGACCCAAGCCGCCCGGAGGCGGAAGGGCACCCGCTGCGGATGATGTAGCGGTCTCGGAGGTAGGCCCTTCCTCCACTGTCACGGTTGCGGGCTCTGGAACTGCAGGCAAAGACTCTACAGCCACTGGCGCTTCTGGAACCGTCAAAGGCGAGGAGGTTGGAACCACAGACCAGGCCTTCGGTGTAGCCCCCGCTGGTGCCCCTTGGGCTTTCGACAGAGCACCTGGAATTTCCCCAGGAGCTGCCTGCGAAGGCCTGGCCTTGCTTGCCCTCCATCTGCCCCATGCTTCCTCCTCTTCTGTCTCTCCTGTCTCTGATGCAGCCACCGTAGGCGAAGGTACTGCAACTTGACTCGGAGGCCTCGAGAAAACATTGAAGGGGGCAGCTGAAGCCTCTGCATCCGCAGTCTCGACTGGCGCCGCCTCTGCTGGTGCAGGCTCTACTGGTGCATTCAAAAACACAACCTCCTGCCCGGCACTCTCCGCTGGAGAGTTGTGGGAATCTTGCTCCACCTCCATTGGCGGTTCCGACATGCTCAGTACCTTCCCTCAGGGAAAACCAAGACACGCAAACAAGCAAAATGGCTGCGGACAAACATGCGCACTTCAAGCCTTTTGAGGTCCTTTTGGGCTTCCTAACGCAAAACATGCCTGGCTCGGTTGCTTTGGGGCACTCACTTCCTTTAAGGGCACACCTCAAACCTTCACTGCCGAAGATCAGAAGCGAAAAGCCTTTCAAACACAACCCCTTCACAAGACATGCCAGCAAAAACATCACGTTCCAAACTGCGCACACATGCCGCTGCCAAAAATCATGTTGCTGTCTGACAAAAACATGGCATTTCCTAACAGAATCATGAAGTTTCCTAACCAGACTTTCGGAACACAGGCTCCTATCACCACTCAGGACAGGCGTTTTCCTAGTACAGATCATGTCGTGCGGTTTCCTACCGGCGTGTTCTTCAGGAATTTCCAGGGACCTACTCCTAACTTCAGCCCTCAAACCGCGCAACATGAACTCAAACGGCGTTCCCGTCAAGACGTGGCGGATAGACTTCTCGTCCTTTCCAGGCTTCTCATCACTCTTCGCTTCTTTCGAAGTCTTCTTCAGGATGCTTGGTCCTGCAGTAATGTCTTTCCTGGGTTCCTTGTCAACAGGAAGAGAGTCGATCTCCATGTCCGATCCCTTGGATGGGCGTTTAGGAGCTTTCTGCTTCTTTCCGCTAATCGCCCACCAGGCCCGTTTCGCCCCAACCAGGCGGACATTCTTCTTTCCACCCTTGTAAATGCGAGACCCGGTGCGCGCAAGGTGCGTCTTCCAGCCCCGTTCCGACGCGGACCACGGAGATACCACATTGAAAGGCACGTCCGCCACAAGGACGTCCTCCAACGTCAACGAAACGTCGCCGAAACGAACTTCCAGATCAACGACATTCGATACGTTTATGATGTCTCCTGAGGCACTATAGAGCGTCACCGTGCGATCATGGTACTTGCAGACACGAAATCCTGACAGATGATCTGCTGAGACGATGTGGCATGTGGCTCCACTATCGACCAGCCACACATCACGATGCTCTACCTGCAGCGAAGCGCAGACGTATGCCGCATCTCCCTTCGAGGTGCTTCCAGTCAGGGTGCCTACCTTCTCATCTACAGTGACTTTCGGCCCTACAGCGACCGGTCTAGGGACTGCCTCTACGGGCTTAGGCTTCTCAGGCTCAGGCTGGCTCAGTACTTCTCGTACAGCAGAAGGCTTGGCAAACCTCATCGCCATCACGGTGGAGGTCCTCGAAGACTCGGACTCTGCCTCGGACTCTGGTTCTCCCATAGCCCGGGCTCTAGCCTTCTTCTTCTTCTTGCCTTTGCCCTTGCCTTTATCAGGCTTGTCGGGCTTCTGCTCCTTGTCTTTGCCGCCTTTTCCGCCTTTCGGCGTTGGAGAGCGGGGCTTTCCTTTGGGATTCTGCGCTCCCTTGCCATCGCCCTTCTTGCCCTTGTCGCCCTTCTTGCCCTTTTCACCGGCTTCACGCTGACGGCTCCAGCAGTCCTTAGCCAGGTGTCCCTTTCGCCCACAGTGGTCACAAAGCTTGTCACCCTTTCCTGACATCTGCCGATTTGAGGAAAAAGGACCCTCACACAGACGAAGCTGCTCCTCATAGTACCGAAGGCTATCGCTCAGCGATGTCCAGTCGTTGCTCTTCCCATGAAGAACAACGTACTGTCTGAGCTCCTGGCTCAGAGCTTGCAGCAAAACACTGCAGCGGTCAGCCTCCGTGAGACGCAACTCTGGAAAGTTCCCAAGCTTGGATTCGGCACGAGAAAACTCGTCCTCCAAGTGACGGATGAGGTCTGTCGGCCGTCGGTGATGCTGGCACGTAGTCGCCAACTTGAGGCACTGCTCCCGCACGTAGACAGCTTCCATGCGAGACACGATGCTGTATTGCTGCGTGATGGTCCTCACAGCCTCGTATCCGCAGGCACTGAGAGACTGCCTTTTCGAGCACGAGCGTAGCAACTCCTGACCTCTTTCCCAACGTGAGAGGGATTGGGTGAGGTAGTAGTAAAGCTTCGCGCTTCGAGCAGCAACATCATCCGCCAAATCCTTCTGAAGGATCTCGTTCTTTTGCTTGACGCAGAGTTGCAACTCTCGGACGAAAGACTCATCTTGAAGAGCGAGCCACGATGACAATGTCTCCAAGTAGGCATGCCATGTCTCGACTTCTCTCATCCTGCCCTTGTTCATGCCTTGGTGCTCTAGCATCGGCAGAGATGGAAGGTACTTCTCTGCCCTATTCTGCACCAGTGGGCTCCGAACAGAACTCGAAGACGAGGTAGCTCCTGCAACAGGCACAGAAGGTGTGCTCGGTGCAGCTGCAAAAGGGTCTTCCGTCTTGGCTCTAGCTGCAGCCTCCGCAACCAAACGTGCGGTCTCCGCTGCCTTCTCTTCAGCCTCATTTCGACGCTTCTCTTCCAAGTCCATCCTTCTCATGAGGGCATCAACTGCTGGTTCTGCTGGTTGGCCTGACTTTGTTGCCTCAGCATTTCCATGAAGATGGCTTGGAAGTTGCCTTCACCAAGGCCATTTCCAGCTTGTGCTCCACCCACTTGGCTTCCAGCAGGCGAAGCATGAGCTTGAGCTGGAGTTGCCGGGGGCGACGCAAAAGGGTTCGCTCCTCCAGCAGGTGCTGTCGGCTGTCCTTGAGACCCAAACAGCAAAGCCTCTTCCTCAGGGCTCACATCAGGTACTGGCACTGTAGACGCGTCCGGAACTTGGGCCGGTTCAGCACTATCTGCCAGATTTGCCTCGTTCCCTTCATGTCGGTTTCGTTACGAAATGGCATAGCAGATCTTTACGTATTTCCTTGCATATATTCGATTATATACACTGATATATCACAACCTAAAACCTATATGCATATACCCTAATTATATAATATGTATATATATATATAGTTAAAAATAATATAGTCTCTTAGGATTGAGGGTATTAGGGTTCTTTTTTTTGGGATACATGCAGGCTTGGGGTGTATATAGGGCTTAGGGTTTAGTGGTTTTAGGGTCCCGGGTTTCGGTTTAGGGTTTAGGGTTGCGCGCATGCAGGAGGAAGCAAATCGTGAGGAGGACGGTGAAGAACAGGGCCAGGATTCAGGACGAGAGGAGCAGGCGGAGGAAGAGGAGAAGGTTGAAGAATGCCAAGGCAGCCCGGCATAGGATCCAGGAGAGGAGCAGCAGGAAGAGGAGGAGGAAGAAGACCAAAACAGCCCCGCGCAGGATCCAGAAGAGGAGCAAGAGGAGACGGAGGTTGAAGAAGAAGGCAGCCCAGCGCAGGATCCAGGAGAGGAGCAGCAGCAAGAGGAGGAGGAAGAATGCCAAAGCAGCCCCGTGCAGGGATCCACGAGAAGAGAAGGAGGAAAAGGAGAAGGAGGTTGAAGAAGAATGCCAAGGCAGCCCTGCACAGGATCCAGGAGAGGAGGAGGAGGAAAAGGAGAAGGAGGTTGAAGGATGCCAAGGCAGCCCTGCGCAGGATCTAGGAGAGGAGGAGGAGGAAGAGGAGGAGGAGGTTGAAGAAGAACGCCAAGGCAGCTCTGCGCAGGATTCAGAAGAGGAGGAGGAAGAGGAGGAGGAGGAGGTTGAAGAATGCCAAGGCAGCCCTGCACAGGATCCAGGAGAGGAGGAGGAAGAGGAGGGGGAGGCCGAAGAAGAATGCCAAGGCAGCTCTGCACAAGATCTAGGAAAGGAGGAGAAAGAGGAGGGTTCAAGAAGAATGCAAAGCAGCCCCGTGCAGGATCCAGCAGAGGAGCAGGAAGAAGAGGATCCAGGAGAGGAGTAGGAGCAGGGCGTGCAAGAGGAGGAGGCGGAAGAAGAAGGCGGAAAGGAAGAGGAGGTTGAAGAAGAATGCAGAGGCAACTTCCAGGATTCAGGAGAGGAGCAGGAGGAAGAGGAGGAGAAGGAGGTTCAAGAAGAAGAGGCAGCCCCGCACAGGATTCCGGAGGAGCAGGGGAGGAGGAGGTTGAAGAAGAATGCCCAAGCAGCCCTGCCCAGTATCCAAAAGAGGAGCGGGAGGAAGAGGACGAGGATCAAGAAGAATGCCAAGGCAGCCCCGCACAGGATGCAGGAGAAAGCAGGGGGAGGAGAAAGAAGGCCAGGATTCAGGAGCAAGGAAAGGAGGAGGAGGGGAATGAAGAAGAGGAGAAGAAAGAAGATGAGGCCGACTATGCTTAATTTAAGGTTTAAATATAGCTAGGGTTTAGAGAATATAGCGTTTTGGGGGGGCTCAGGATATGAGACCTCGGAACTCTCATATATATTATATGTATACAGATCTAAACCCATGACGTCTTTTCAGGACGCTCCGCTACCATGTGAAAAGCAAAGCTTTAGCGTAGACTGCTTTTCCGTTCGCACTTGAGCCAAACACGTCAGTGTTTGCTCTTTCCAAGAGCAAAGGCTTCAAGTCATCTCAACTTTGTTTCGACAAAGGAGAATGCAAAAGTAACATGCAAAACATCTTGGTCACTGCTTCAGGACTTCAGGTCTGTTGCAAAACACACAGCACTCTCAGAATGTCTCAGTCGAGTGTCAAACGGTCACGACACGGTCCGAACGACGGGGTAAGGCACACGGAGTGAGTGACGGCCAAAGTTTGTTTCTCAGAGCTTTGCTTCAGCACTTCCAGATGACTCTCAGGTCAACTTTCCGAGCTAAAAGCCTCTCTGTGCTTCCCAAAAAATCATCCTCGGACTTGCAAACCAAACATGTCAAGTCAGAGCACCTTCATGTCATGCAAACATGCTCATGCCAAAACAAAACATGCTTTGCCATGTCACAGCACTCATGTCGTACACATGCACCTGCAAGCAACTGGGCAAACAAAGAAATGTCATATTTTCACAGTCTGACTTTTGTTGATTGTCAGGTTTTGCTTGTGCTGTTTTTTTTTTCGATTCACTTTTTTTTGACAAATAATTTTAAGGTTCCTTTTTTCAGACCAACTATTGCAACTTTCTGGCAAGCTCAAAAAACATCTGCAGAAATTTCTTGGGATCTCTCTGCAAATCCGAGACACTCTATGGTTCAAAGTCTATCAAAGTGGTTTCAAGACACCCGTTTTGCCCGTTTTTGGGTTCTTGTTTTTTCTGCCCAAGTCGTGTGAAGACACCTTTGGGCTCGATCTGGACTCAAAAAGTCAGGTTATTAAAGTGTGAGTCTCTAGAGTTGCTGGATCGGTTCTGTTGGTTCTGTGTCTTTTTCGGTGGTCTTGGTGCTTTTTTTTCCTTACTCTAAGTCTTGCCTTGTCCAATGCATCTTTCTCTCTTCAGTCTTCTGGTCAATCTTGGTTGGCTCCTGGTTGTTTTTTCGTGTTTTGCTTTTTTTCTCCTGTCTGTTCTCTCTCTGCGTTTGTTATCTGTTTCATGTGTTGTGTCCATGTTCCTTGGATGTTGCTGGTCGGTTCTTTCAGCTTGGTCTGTCCTTTTCCCTTGTTGTGAGTTGCCGTGCTTCTGGTCGATTGGGTCCCCTGGTTTGTTTCTTGTCATTTAATGAATTCGATCTTGGTCTCGATCTTGGTCCTCAATCGGCCTTGGGTCCATTATTGGATTTTTTGGCATTTTGACCTTCCTTTAGTTAAACTTTAGTTCAACTCGGTTGGTGATTTGGCATGTTTCTTTGTGGGTCCGTCGGTCCTTGCGGTCGTCGGTTGTCCTGTATCGTGTGTCTCTGTGTCGTGTGTGTTGGTTCTCTCAATGCAGTCTCCAAAAGTACGAAATAGCGCAAGTTTGGGGACCAGAATTGGGGGTGCCTGCAACCATGAATTTCTGGCAACGCACGACTGGCCCCCCCAAAGTGGGTTTTTAACTTGAGATCTGCAAAAATTTTTTGCCGGACCAGCTTTGCAATTCTTCTGTCCTGCATGTCTCTGTGTGTGTGTGTATGCTTTTGTGGTGGCTTTAGCGCCATGGAATTTGCAGCTGTGGTTGCAGGAGCAGTTTTGAACCCATTTTTGGGGTCCCAATTTTGGGCCCATTTTGGGGTCATAATTTGGGACCCAAGCATGTAAAACAATGAAAAGACCTCCTCTCTTTCTGCCACAAGTAGGTCCAATTTTGGAAGCTTTTTTGGGCTCTGTTTTCGGGCCCCCCAATTTTAGGGAATTGCTGCTCCATTTTTGTCCACAGACAGCACGCCTGCAACGACAGCTGTCGTGTTGAGCTGAAGTAGAATCTCTTGTGGAGGTGGTCTGTGTGTTCGCAGCCTGTGAATTGTTGTCCTTGTTGCTGCTGGTTGCGGCTGCAACTGTGGGGGGCTGGAGGGGTGTAGTTAATTTTGCGGGCCAAATGGACCCCCTAAACTAGGACCCCCAGGCCCCCTTTCCTGGCACGACCTCGATGCTCAGATTCGGTTGCTGAAAAGCAAAAAGAGGTGCGTTCCAGTGGCTTTCAAACATCTTTGAAGATGATGAAAAAAGCAGCTTGAAACAATGGCCAAGGAATCCGGCAAATCTTCCAACACTCCATCGTTTAGAAGTGCTTTGAACAATGGTCAGGAAGCGCGTCTTCTCCGTGAAAAGCTCCTCTTGACCTCCCAAGTCCGCGATTTGAAATTGCTTGAAACAAGCGTTTTTGAAAGCCTCTGACAGTGCCGTTTGGACAGAAATCAACTGCAGGACGAGACGAGTTCAACTGTACTGCTGAGACGTCCATGTTGCGCGCGACGCCCAAACCGAACCGTTTTGAAAAGGCAAAGTGTCTTTCCACAATGTGAATAAGTGCGAGCGAAGCGAGCGAAACACCGGAGTGCATCCAACATGTGTTTTGTTGTCAGAGCTTGTTTTTGATGGTTTTACATTTTGATCGTCTGACTTTTGTTGATTGTCAGGTTTTGCTTGTGCTGTTTTTTTTTCGACTCACTTTTTTTGACAAATAATTTCAAGGTTCCTTTTTTCAGACCAACTATTGCAACTTTCTGGCAAGCTCAAAAAACATCTGCAGAAATTTCTTGGGATCTCTCTGCAAATCCGAGACACTCCATGGTTCAAAGTCTATCAAAGTGGTTTTAAGACACCCGTTTTGCCCGTTTTTGGGTTTTTTGTTTTTTCTGCCCAAGTAGTGTTGAGACACCTTTGGGCTCGATCTGGACTCAAAAGTCAGGTTATTAAAGTGTGAGTCTAGAGTTGCTGGATCGGTCCTGTTGGTTCTGTGTCTTTTTCGGTGGTCTTGGTGCTGATTTTTTTCCTTACTCTAAGTCTTGCCTTGTCCAATTCAGCTGCTAATGGAGTGAAGAGGCTGCCTTGAGTCGCTTGGATCTTTCTCTCTTCAGTCTTCTGGTCAATCTTGGTTGGCCCCTGGTTGTTTTTTCGTGTTTTGCTTTTTTCTCCTGTCTGTTCTCTCTCTGCGTTTGTTGTCTGTTTCATGTGTTGTGTCCATGTTCCTTGGATGTTGCTGGTCGGTTCTTTCAGCTCAGTCTGTCCTTTTCCCTTGTTGTGAGTTGCGG